GGCCGATAGTCGGTATGTAACAATGAAATAATGGGCCGATTGTTAGAATAAGTAGGACAATTATTTCTTCTTTGTTTTTTGTCTTATTAATTAAGAAAATTCGATATTCTTCTGGTCTAACTTTTGTCTCCTTAATATTATTAATTAAATAATAAAAAAGTCATTTATTACTACATATTATTCAATAAAATTCACAATTAATCCACACTAGTTGTAATCTGTGCATTTGCACAGAAAACTATATGATAAGAATAATATAATAAAAAATTATAAACAATAGTAAAAATCATAACATAATCATCGAAAAAAAACGTTTTTTTTTTTAAAAAAAAATAAATATTATTAAACATGAAAAAACTTTTTTTTTTTTAAATTATTATTAAACACTTCTTTATGTGCAACATTCGTGGTTTTTTAATCGTCAAAATCTCCATCACCACAAATCATTATCTTCAAACTCCTTCGGCTCGTAACTCTAGAAAACGCCACGTACAATTGTTCATGGCTAAATACAGGGCTCTTCAGTAGTAAGCTGATGTGCGACAGAATTGTCTTTGACTCTTATTGATTGTCATAGCATAGGAAACCATGAGCAGAAACTGCCTGTACTGAAACTTGAAAGGTACCCTCAAATCGGATGATATGATTTTGAGCATACGAATAAGAACCATATCACCAGCTCTGGCACCGGTTCATATTTTTTATTCGAATACATGGCTGTTGAGCTTAGTAATAACTAATCGAGTATATGTTGATCTCAAATTCGGAGAACAAAAACATATCAATTGAATTGTACATTAATCAAAGAAAATATAAATGATGGATAAGAATTTTATTGGCTGCCAATTGAAGTGCACCCTTTGTCGTTGGATGCGATTACCATTTGTCGTTATACCGGTTACACCGATATCTTCATAACTATCAATTGCAACCCCAAGTGGCTTGAAATCAGTCGATTCCTTTCTGAAAGGAACCTCAACCCTGAGGACCGTCTAGATATAATTTGTCGTGTCTTTAAGGCGAAGTTTGATGCACTGATGAAGGATGTTCGGACCCATATAGCACGGCCAAAGTTTCATCTCCCACACATATATAGAATATTTAAGAAGGTGGTAGAGGCAGGTATTTGATGCATGAAACCCTACCACGTGCAACATTTTCGCCGTTTCTTCTTCACTTTTATTTTTTTCTCTCGTCTAACACAAACACTCGGATCGATTCCTATTTTGTTTAACTGTCGTAGTCATGCTTTTATTTTATCAACGAAGAAGCTATTGATCTCGATGTGAATTGTTTGTTAAAGGTTTAATATATTTGTATGTTTTTTGTATTATTTCGTGGATAAAGTTTTTGGATCATTTTTATTGTATAAATTTTTTATGACAAATAATTCTGGTCGGGAAACACCTTAAAATTTTCTATGGCATAAATACGACCCTCATTGATTTTAAACTTCTTAAAATTTTTCAGCGAAGCAACCCAGGCCTGAAGCGTGAATTCACTGACCCTACACGATAAAAAAAATAATATTATACAATATTTATATTGAAATAGTATGTGTTAAAAAAGACTGAAAAATTTTTTATACCTTAACATCGTGAAATACGTACTCCAATCCGCCATTTTGATGTTTTTTCTTTTTATTTTCATTTTATCAAAGATCTTGTTGAATAATGGCGAATCAACCTCAATATTATCAAACATAAAAGCCATTTGAAATGATAATTTGTCTATTTTTTTTTCTTATTGAGTAGTATTTTTTGTTGAATGTGATTTTGGTTCTTATTTTTTCAGCTATTTATAAAGTTTTAAAAAATGGTCATTGATTGTATAATTTGATTGCCAAGTGATTGCTCAGTTTTAAAGAATAATTGATTAATTTTAATTTATTTTTTTGACTGACTCTAATATTGTCCCGCCATTTTAATTGATGGATTGCGTGATTCTTCATTTATATAATTTTTAAAATTTAAGATAAATAATGAGTATATCATATTGTAGAAATTTTATGGTTTGTAAATATAAACGATATAATTATAAACTATTTCACCTACATATAAATCACTATAATAATAATTGTAGAACATAATAGTGATTATGACCAATTAATTAGATAAAAAATGATTTGGTTATGCCATAAAAAGTAATTAACTATTTTTATTAAAAAATATTAATGATTTTAAAAAAAATATTAATATTAAATAAGTAGCTTAAAAAATCTAAATAAATTTTCTTATATGTATAAACTTTCTTATATCCTTTAGTTATTATTAGTTATTATGTAATTATAAAATATATAATTAATTAATTAATGAAAAATGTAACAGCTTCTTTTTACAGTTAGTTGAATAAAATGTGCTGATTTTATTTTTAATAAATTCTTTGTGAATAGTTATATATATAGGAATATAAATATAATCATAACGGGAATGATATTTATATAAAATACATTAATTATTATTATTATTATTATTATTATTATTATTATTATTATTATTATTATTATTATTATTATTACTACTACTACTATTTGAGACTATGAATTTTATTAAACGAATGCATTTTTTGAAAAATTAAACACGTTCTTATGCAACAATAAATTGTCTTTTATAAGAACGATTGTTTTATTTTAATTTTCTATTTTTGTATTATACCACAG